AACACCTGGAGCTGGGAGTCCTGGTGCCACAAGTGAAGAACACGGAGTGCACCATCATCACTCCAAGAGCTAGAACCATGCTGGAGAGGACCCTGAAGGATGCCATCTGCTGCCAATATGTGGAAAACCTGAAACGGAAGCCAGACCAGGGCAAGGCTTTTGAGGTGACATGCAAGTGGGACACCAGCAACCACTTCCTCCCCAGGGGCAGCTTCACCCGATTTGTTGACTGGAAGTTCATCGACCGGGCCCGGCTCAACTGCATCCTGCTGAATGGAGCCATCCGCCACAGGAATCGGGACAAGCGATGCAGGAGATGCGGCTACACCAATGAGACACTACCCCACGTCCTGTGTAGCTGCAAGCCCCATTCCAGAGCCTGGCAGCCGCGACACAATGCCATCCATGATCGCCTGGCCAGAGCCATCCCACCACCTATGGGGAAGGTTGCCATGAACTCCGCCATTACTGGAACCAACAGCCAACTGCGACCGGACATCGTCATCACCAACGAAGACCGGAAGAAGATCAGCATGGTGGACTTCACAATGCCCTTCAAGAACAGGACCCCAGCCTTTCACGATGCCCGAGCTCAAAAGGTAGAGAAATATGGCCCTCTGGCCAAAACCTTAAGAGCTAAGGGTTACCGGGTCCAGAAACACGCGCTGATCATCGGAGCCTTGGGCGCATGGGACTCCAGTAACGAGCAAGTGGTGAGCTAATGTGGAATCGGTCAATTCTATGTTCAGCTGATGCGGCAACTCATGGTGTCAGATGCCATCAGATGGTCAAGGGACATCTACATAGAACACATCACCGGACATCAGCAATACCAGGAGGGATGAGCTAGAGTGCCGATGAGAAGCACAGTCAGGAAAGTAACAAATACTTTCTTCGTGGATTGTACAGACACTCCCCATCTTACACAAGCATTCGGTTCTGGAAAGCCTTGTGTAAGTCAAATTTTGTGTAAGTCGGGAATGTATCTCCGACAATTACGCAAAAAAAAGCTTACGGAAAAGCTTTCCGTAAGTGCGGATTTCTGTAAATCAGGTTTGCGTAATCCGGGGAGCATCTATATTTTCTAAATGGACAACCAACATAATTCTCAATTACTGAGAGACAATCCCCACTCATTGATATATTTTTGCTTTCCATAACCAAATCTCTGTACAACTTTTCATGAGTGATGTACCTGAGTATTCGGATTCTAATAGCTAAACTGTATTCACCTAAATTTGGGTGATTATTGCTGATTATGCATTATATGTATCTTATGACTTTAAAAACAAACTTTATGTTTGTGGATAATTAAGCACTGTACTCAGATGTACAGACACGCTTTTCTCAACCTATATATTATATAATATTTTTAACATTAGCTTTAATATAAATTTTAAATCTGTCACTGATACAGAACGATCTGAATTATTTGGTAAGCTGAGTGCAGGCAAACAATATGTGTTTTAATATAGAAATGATATGGCAAAATGTAAATGTATACATGTAGGAACAAAGAATGCAGGCATACTTACATGATGGGGGACTCTATCCTGGGAAGCAGTGACTCTGAAAAAGATTTGGGAGTCATGGAGGTAATTAGGTGAACATGAGCTCCCAGAAAATGAGAAAGGAGAGACTAACTCAGAAAAACAGAAGGGATAGAAGAAACTGCACGCAGGTATGTTTTGGCCTCTTCAGGAGTTATTCTGATTTTCTTTCCCGGTCTCAAATTTGACTTTTTGATGTTGGAAGTCCTGCATGTTCCCTGATACAGAAATAACAGGTCATGGTTAAGAAAAATAGCATGGCTTAAGATCAGGCTTTGGAGCTGAAAAATGCAAAGGTCTGACAATCTTACAGAACATTTCTTCCTGCCACCCTCAGCAGTGAAGCTACTCAATAGAAGGGGATAAAGTAAAAATCTAGAGAGAAAAGATGGAGCCATAAGGGAGCTCCTGTCACCCCATCCAGTGCATCTGCATTGCCTGTAGCAAAAATAATTTCTGTTTTGAATTCCTTTCAGTGTTACATTTTTTCTGGAGAATGGGCCAGATTTTATTCTGTTCCATCCATGTGACTCCAGAGAACAACTGTGACTTTGACAAAGGTTCTGCCATTTTAACACCCCATGCCGCTACCCCAACATGTTGAGTGCCTTTGAAAATGTGGCAACAATTGTCACAATGACAGATTCTGGGTGTTTGAGCTCTATTGAAATCTGGCTCTTCTTTAGGTGCCTAGATGAGAGTTGGAAATCTTGTCCCAGTTGTGCGTGCCACTTGAAACTCCCGCTCTGAGATCTTTTGAAAATCCAGCCCTAAGACCCAGGAGAAGGAAAACAAGACCCGTAGTAAGTCTTCAATATTCAGGCCACTGCTGAGCACCAAGCTGTTCTAAATGCAGGTCTGCAGCACGGGGAATCCAGTGCAGCTGAGGGGTTTGGGTTTTTTAAATTAACCCAGGAGTTTCTATTTGTGGTAAAAGACCAAGTTGGGTACATGATGGGAACATCGACCATTATGAACAGTGCTTGGGGTTTATCTACGCTGCCATTATTTAGGGCCTGCTAGATCTGTGGTGGATGAATAGTCAGAGCTTGTCAGTGGGGATAGAAGAAACTGCAAGCAGGTAGGTTTTGGCTTCGTCAGGAGTGTGGAAAATGTGTGATTGAATGTCTCGGGCAATGGGCTTTCACCCAGCTGGGTAATGATGCCCAGGAACTCATGTCAGGCCCGCCCATTTTTTCTGGAACACCATTTCATACCTCAGGAGCCAGATCCTGTCTGCTGAGAGGGCTGCTGAGCACAATCCCGGTGACACAGAGCTGTCTTAAAGCTACCAGAACCTTCCAGTGGCCATGAGGCTGCTTCAACTTACAAAGGGGGCTGAAGCAGCACCCAGGAATCCCAATGTTCAGGGGAATGTGAGAGGGACACTTTTCCCTGCCCTGGGTGTTGTGCCTAGCATAGCTCAGACTGACTCAAGGACTGGGTTTAATGTACATTTATTTTTTTTCCCCAGATGTAACTGTAATTTCTCCTTTTGTTTCAGCTTTGAAGACATTCCTTCGAGCTCAGACCCAAAGAGACCTGGATATTTTGGAAGAAGGAATTTCAGCTTCTCAGATTAGAAGGTATCAGGGAAGTTTTTCAAAATTCCCATACACATTAGCCTGATTTCCTTCTCACTTACTCTGGTACTAGCCAGGAGTAAAACTGGGCTAAAGGAGATGATCAGGCCCTCTGTGGTATAGTGAAACAAAGCAGGAGGATGTGGGATCCATCTTTGGTTCCGCCCTCCCTTCAGTCTGGATGTACAGGGCTCTAACTAAAATCCTGACACTTTTTTCTCTGTAACACTGCTAAGATCCAGCCTCTTGTTACAGATACAGGCAACTAACAGAAGTTATTAGATCACAGGCCCTGGTTCTCATGGGGGACTTCAGTCACCTTGATATCTGCTGGGAGAGCAATACAGCGGTGCACAGACAATCCAGGAAGTTTTTGGAAAGAGTAGGGGACAATTTCCTGGTGCAAGTGCTGGAGGAACCAACCAGGGGCAGAGCTCTTCTAGACCTGCTGGTCACAAACGGGGAAGAATTAGTAGGGGAAGAAAAAGTGGATGGGAACTTGGGAGGCAGTGACCATGAGATGGTCAAGTTCAGATCCTGACACAAGGAAGAAAGGAGAACAGCAGTATATGGACCCTGGACTTCAGAAAAGCAGACTTTGACTCCCTCAGGGAACTGATGGTCAGGATCCCCTGGGAGAATAACATGAGGGGGAAAGGAGTCCAGGAGAGCTGGCTGTATTTTAAAGAATCCTTATTGAGGTTGCAGGAACAAAATATCCTGATGTGTAGAAAGAACAGTAAATATGGCAGGCGACCAGTTTGGCTTAACAGTGAAATCCTTGCTGATCTTAAATACAAAAAAGAAGCTTACAAGAAATGGAAGATTGGACAAAGGACCAGGGAGGAGTATAAAAATATTGCTC